CCTAAACCAACCAGACCAGCTGTGTCAAATGGGAGATGGGGGTGAAGGTCAGTCAGGACCTGAACCAACCAGACCAGCTGTGTCAAATGGGAGATAGGGGTGAAGGTTAAGGAGAACCTAAACCAACGAGACCAGCTGTGTCAAATGAGAGATGGGGGCAAGGTCAGGCAGGACCTAAACCAACCAGACCGGCTGTGTCATGTCCTCCTTAGCCTGTCTGACTTCATCTTATTCTCACTACATGTGCTTTCACAGGTGCCCTCTCCCTGTTCTCGCTGCTTTTGAATAAGTTCATTCCTACCTTATTCTTCTCTGGCCCTATGCTTTGTTTTGTGAGTTTTAACTATTTCCCTTAGGGTTGCTCTCTGTTGTACAGCATTCCCTCTGAATAATAGGCAGAAGCTACTTTTTGCTTTTCTGAGATCCCTTTAGTGAGAGAGAAGATAGTGGGGAAAGAGAGAGAGAAGTAGGGAGAAATGAGCAGGGAGATGGTGAAACTATGCTAACAAATTGACAAAAGGGTGCAAGGAAAGAACTAGAGTAAGGGCCCCCAAAACTCTGTGTAGGAACAAGCCTAGCTAAAATAATAATAATCAGCCGCTGTCCTCTTGTTTGCTTGATAATGGTCACTGTCCCCTTGTTTGCTTTTCTATAATTGCTACTCTAGAAGGCACAAGTCATAACTGAAAGATTCTTCTTAACTTTTCTCCACAAATAACATCACCTTTTCAGAATCTAGAGGTAGTTTTTGAGATATCTTTTAGGTCCCATATTCCAATGAATTGACTGATCCACCCAGACTAAGAAACTAACTCAACTGGTCTTGGACCTCCACTCAAGGAACTGCATTCTAGTAACTGACCACCCAGATAGCAGCTCATACCAAAGGACTGGTAGTTCCACCTTGAAATCAGCCACTTAGCAGATCCTGAAGGCATAAACCTCTGCCCACCAAACTGTCTTTAAAAACCCTGTCCCTCCAGTTCTTAGGCAGGTGGATTTGACCTGGGGAAGTGTAAACAGAGAGAATTTATATTTGCTTTGGTCTGGTATGCTCTTTAGGGAGTCTGTGGGTAGGAGTGGGCCTTCTAGCTTGAGAAAGAAAGCAGGTAGAGTGATAGATTTCAGTCAATGAAAAACTATGAGTTAATAATTTTTCTATTTTTTCACTGTAAGGACTGAATATTCTTATAGAATTTATACCTAGTAAAAGTCATTTTGGGTATACAATTGGCAATTAATCACCACTGTTACATCCAGTCATAAGCAACTCATTCTGATGCTATGATTTTCACTTTTTCTAGAATTTCATATAAATGCAATCATACATTATTCAGAATTTTGTAATTGCCTTCTTTCACATAGCATGATATTTTATAGATTCATTCATGTGAGATTTTATTATGTGGGCATATTTTGTTTATGTATTCATCAGCTTATGGACATTTGGGTTGTTTTTGTTTCTTTTGGGCAAATACCTAGGAATTTCATTTCTAGATCATATGGTAAGTATATGTTTAACTTTATAAGAATTGACAAACCATATTTTAAAGTTACTATACCATTTTTTGTATTCCTGCTGGCAATGTATGACAGTTTTTCTACAAAATATACTTAATTTAAAAGAACTCAGTTCAAAAGAAGCAACTACAAGCATGTTTATCCCTGTATATGATTTTAAAAATAATTTTAGGTCCTGCTTTTTATAATATCCTGAATAATACTATAATTGCCAAAGTTGGAAATATCTGCTTGAAGAAAAAAAGTACAAGTGCATTTGGTTCTTCTCTTCCTCGTACTTTCTTTCTGGTTAAGAAAAAACCTTCTACTCCTGGGCCTGCTGATTATCAGGTAATTCATTAATACTGAAGTAATATTTTTTATATTGATAAAATTACATATGATATTAGAATTAATATACAAAGATATAGTTATTATAACTAATTACATGTAATGTGTTAGGGAAACTAGAAAGATTTAGCATATTAAATGATAGAAACATGGCAGATATTTAAAAAAAGACAAATGGAAGATTTAGAGATATCAAGTAAAATATTTGAAAAAATTAGTGCAGCTAGTGGTTTGTCAATTTTGTTTATCCTTTTGAAGAAGCAACTTTTATTTTTGTTGATATTATAAATTGTCTTATTAGTCTCTATTTAATTTAGTTCTGCTCTGATCTTTGTAATTTTTCTTTTTCTACTAATTTTGAGTTAGGATTGTTCTTATCTAGCTCCTCGAGTTGCAACATGAATTTGTTACTTTGTAATCTTTCTTTTGTAATGCATATATTTAACACTGTAAGTTTCTTTCTTAGCCCTGCTTTTGCTGTATCCTATAGATTTTTAGTGTGTTGTTTTTCCATTTTCATTTGTTTCAAAAAACACTTTAGTTTCTGTCTTACTTTCTTGACCCTATGTCATTCAGGAGCATATTGTTTGATTTCTATGTAATCGTAGAGTTTCAAAAGTTCTTCCTGGTATTGAGTTTTAGTTTTATTCCACTGTAGTCTGAAGAGGTGCTTGATATGATTTTGATTTTTAAAAATTTGTTGAGATTTGTTTTGTGGTTTAACATATGATCTGTTTAGGCTCATGGTATAAGCCATGTGCTGATGAGAAGAATGTATATTCTGCATTTATTGGGTAGAATATTCTGTAAATATCCATGAAGTCCATTTGGCCTGAAGACCAATTTAAGTTTAATTTTTGTTTGTTGATTTTCTAAGTGATCTGTATGATGCTGTCAATGGGGTGTTAAAGTTACCCACCATTATTGCCTTGACGTCATCATCTTCCTTGTTGTCTTCTTCTTCTTCCTCTTCCCCTTCCCCTCCTCCTCTTCTTCTTCTCCTTTTCCTCCTTCTCCTCCTCCTTCTCCTCCTTCTTCCTCCTTTTTCTTCTCCTCCTCCTCCCCTTCCCCCCTTCTTCCTTTTTCTCCCCTCCTCCTCCTTCTTCTTCTGTTTAATTTTTCTTTGTTGATTTTCTAAGTAATCTGTATGATGCTATCAATGGGGTGTTAAAGTTACCCACCATTATTGCCTTGCTATCTTCTTCTTATTACTATTGTATGTCAGATTAATATGAAGATGCAGATGATTAGGTTACATTGTTTGCTTTTGTTAGGTTGAGTCCAAGTTGTAGCTGTGTCCCTCACCCAGGGGGTGTGCCATATACCCTTACATTGTTTCTGTTAGGTGAAAACACACCAGTCCCCCTTCCTCTTCTCCTCTCCCCCTTCCCTTCACTCCCTTCCTCCCTCATATGAGTTTAGTTGTGTTTTTCTCTTGTGTGGGTGTGTATTTGTTCATCTGCTGGTTTCATATTAGTACTGAGTACACTGGATACTTGCTTTTCCATTCTTGTGATACTTTACTAAGTAGAATGTGTTTCAACTCTGTCCAAGTTAATCCAAAAGATGTAAAGTCTCCATCTGTTTTAAGGCTAAATTGCATTCCATGGTACACATATACCACAGTTTATTAATTTATTCATGCATAGATGGGCACTTGGGTTGATTCTACATCTTGATGATTGTTAATTGAGCTGTGATAAACATTCTAGTGCATGTGTTCTTATGGTAAAATGATTTTTTTTCTTTTGGGTAGATACCTAGTAATGGATTGTGGGGCCAAATGGAAAGTCTACTTTTGGTTCTTTGAGGATTCTCCATACTTCTTTCCAAAGAGGCTGTACTAGTTTGCAATCCTACCAACAGTGTAAAAGTATTGCTTTTTCTCCACACCCTTGCCAGCATATGTAGCTTTGGGACTTTGTGAGGTGGGCCATTCTTGCTGGGGTTAGGTAATACCTTAAAGTGGTTTTGATTTGTGTTTCTCTATTAATTAGAGATGATGAATATTTTTTCATGTGTCTGTTGGCCATTTGTCATCTTCTTTGGAGAAGGTTTTATTCATATTATTTTTTGCCCAGTGAAAATGAGATTGTTCTTTTTTTTTTTAATTAATTTGAGTTCTGTATAGATACTAGTTATCAACCCTTTGTCAGATTCATGACATACAAATATCTATTCCCATTTTGAAGGTTGTCAGTTTTCTTTAATTGTTGTGGCCTTTAATTAAGTCTTATTCATTTATTTTTGTTGTTATAATTGCTAATGGAGTCTTCTTCATAAAATCTGTCCCCAGGCCAATATCATAAAGAATTTTTCCTACTTTTACCTTCTTTTAGAATTTTTATCATTTTGTGTCTTAGATTTATATCTTTTATCCATTGTGAATCAATTTTTGTTAGTGGTGAAAGACATGTTTCTAGTTTCACTTTTTTACTTGTGTTTTTTTTTTTTTTTCTTCCCAGCATCATTTGTTGAATAGGGATTCTTTTCCACAGTTTATGCTTTTGTTTGGTTTATTGAAAATCAGACAAGAGACTGGTTTCATCTCTAGGTTTTCTATTCTGTTCTATAGACCTATGTTTCTATTTTTGTGCCAATATTATGCTGTTTTGACCACTGTGGACTTGTAGTAAAACCTGAAGTCTGGTAAAGTGATGCCTTTGGATTTGTTTTTATTGCTAAGACTTGCCTTGGCTATATGGGTTTTTTCCTAGTTCTATACAAAACAAAGAAGTTTTCAATTTTTTCAAAGTATAATGTTGGCATTTTAATGGGGATTGCATTTAATTTCTAGATTGGTTTGGACAGTACAGACATTTTAATGATGTTGATTCTTTCCAGCCAATAGCATGGTTTGGTAGTGTCTTCTGCTATTTCTTTTCTCAGGGTTTCACAATTGTCTCTGTAGAGATCTTTCACCTTCCTTATTAGATATATTCCCAGATATTTCATTTTCTTTGGAGCTACTGTGAAAGGTATTGTGTCCTTGATTTGCTTCTCTCCTTGATTGTTATTGACATATACAAAGGCTACTGATTGGTAGACATTGATTTTTATAGCTCATGACATTATTGTATTTCTTGGTCACTTCCAGGAGTCTTGTGGTTGAGTCTCTGGGGTTTTCTAAGTATAAGATCATATCATCAGCAAAGAGCAAGAGTTTGACCTCCTCTGCCTCTATTTGAATGTCCTTAACATCCTTCTCTTGCCTGATTGCATTTGCTAGAATTTCCAGCACTATGTTGAATAGTAGAGGTGATAATGGACATCCTTTTCTGGTATTAGTTCTGAGTGGAAATGCCCTCATTTCTACTCCATTCAGTATAATATTGGCTGTGAGTTTGTTATATATGGCTTCTATCAGTTTAAGAAATGTGCTATTTATGCCTTTTTCCTTAAGTGTTATTGTCACAAAAGGATGATGCATTTTTTTGAATGCTCTTTCTACATCTATTGAGAGGATCATACAGTATTTGTTTTTGCTTCTGTTTATATGGTGAATTACATTTATAGATTTGTGTTTGTTAAACCAACCTTGCATCTCTGGGATAAAACCAATTTGATCATGATGTATAATTTTTTTAATGTGTAGCTGTGTTCTATTTGCTAGGATTTTATTGATTTATTTCTTAGTGAAATTGGTCTGTAGTTTTCCTCTTTTGTTGAGTCCTTTCCTCATTTGGTGATGGGGTGATATTTGCTTCACAGATGTGTTGTGGAGGGTTTCTTCCTTCTCAATGTTTTGGAATAGGTACTGCAGAATAGGTATATAAGCTCTTCTTTAGAGGTTTAATAGAACTCTGGTGTAAAGCCATCTGTTCCAGGGTATTTTGTTGTTGTTTTGGGGGATTTTTAATTGATATTGATCTGTTCAAGAGATCTGTTTCTTCCTGCTTAAATCTAGGGAGGTTGTGTGATTCCATGTATTGTTCCATTTCTTCAACATTGTCAAATTTCTGAGCATTGAATTTTTTGTTGTAATCAGAAATGATCTTTTGTATTTCCATACTATCTGTTGTTATTTCACCCCTTCTTTTTCTGATTTAGGTTATTAGAGATCTTACTTTTCTGTTTCTAGTCAGTCTGGCCAAAGGCTTATCAATTTTGTTTACCTTTTGGAAGAACCAAATTTTTAGGTATCTCTTCACCTTTAGAAATACCCATAATTAGTATATTTAATCACTTTATGTAGTCTTAACATCTCAAATTCTTTGTTCATTTCTTTCTATTACTTTTCATTTATTTTTTTATGACTGGATTATTTCGATTGCACAATGATTTGGAACTTCCTTATGCAATGATTTCTAGTACAGTGTACAAGACAATAATAAAATTTTAATAATAGTAAATTATTTTTTTACTTTCAAATATTTAAATATCCTACAAAACAGTAGTGTTGGCTTAGAGTTTTTGTATTTGAAGGCTTTCTCATTTTTACAAGATGTGACTCTGATTGTTCTGATTTTTTATGCAATAGAATGTATACTTTTTTTTTTTTTAGGACACTAGGTTGGAAAAATATCATGAAGAAAATAGTGGAAAAGTGCCAAAGTTGGCATTTAGAGTAAAGAGGCATATAGTTTCACAGATATAATTTGTGGAGAATGTATTCTTTTTTGTAAATTAATGTTACCAAAAAAATAAAAATATAAAGGTGTTTAATTATTTTTTACTATGTGTCAATTATGAAATATTATGTATGAATAATTAAGTTCTGAAATAAAAATAGTGAAGTATGTAAAAATGAGAAAATGGATCCTTATCCCTTTTGTATAATACAAAGAATGTTGCTATTGTCTATACAGTTTAAATTAAGTGAGTACAAATAAATTATATGATAATTCAAAAAGAATATATTGCAAGACTTAGTTAATTGCTAATTAAAATTTTAGATTACCAGGTTCCTTTAGCTTATTAATTTACATACTTAGTGTATACAAGGAATTATCATATTTAAGAGTGTGGGGGTCACTTTGCTCAGAAAATATATTAGTCTAGATTGCCACATAATTAAGTTCAATGATTATTGTTAATTTATTTTATTTATTAATAACTAAGTATTAACAAATAATACCATATAATTGACTTAATACATCATATTCATATATTACTGAGATTATAACTCATTGGTTTAAAGTTTTTTACTTCTAAATGCTATTTGAAACTTTTATTTTTTTGTATTTGTTTATCTCTATTAAATAACAAAGCAATATTGATAAGCTTCATTGCAAACATTATTATGGTGCCACTTGTATTGATAAAAATATATGATATACTTATTTGTAACCTCTTCTTTCAATATGCTTTTTCATAGACCAGTGGAATTTCTGATGAATTGCCTAACTTGACTAATAAGTTTGCTGTTTTCCTGTCAAGAGCTGAAAGAACTACTAGAATGCCAGATAAGGTAAGAAGACTCTTATAATCAAAACTATTTATAATCTAGGAATTGGGGAAACTATATCATTAACATTATGATCCTAACATTATGTTAGGATCTGAGGGATGTAATTCCTAGTCTACTGTACTATCTTTAGCTAACCTGATAATTTCGTATTTTTAAAGTTCAATAAAATTTTTGCGGCTAAGCAGAATTAAAACATTGTTCTATGAGAGACTATTACATGGAACATCCCTTGTAGGATCAGAAAGCATTCACTTTTAGGACATATATGAAAGCAGAAGTCCTTGTATTATATATGGAGTGGAAGATTTAATTTATGTTTAACTCATTTTGTTCATGGTTTAAATCTTTTTCCCTTTTCAATTGGACTCCATTTTTAAACGCTTTGTTTCTGCTTAATAGATGCAACCATTTTTTTGTGCAACAAAAGTGTTCTTACTCTCTCTGAAATAAGAAGGTACAAGTCTTCAAAAGTCATTTTTTTTTAACTCTGTACAAATTTAGTCAGGCCATCTAAATATTTTATTACCTAAATACTGATTTATACATTTTTAATTTGTAGTTGCTACATAATACTAAAATGTACATTATTAAATTTTTACTTTTATTTCTCAATCCCAAACTTTTTTTTTTTTTTTTTTT